AAAAGTTCAGGTGGACTGGGAAAAGATAGGTACTAGGAAGGAAGAGAAGAATAATAGTAATATAGTCTTAGTAGGTAATATGACAGTGTTGTGGGTCTTAGTTGTTTAGCAGGCTGATGGCATTTGGGGGAAAACTGTCCTTGTGTCTAGTTGTTCTGATGTGCAGTGCCCTATAGCGTCGTTTTGAGGGTAGAAGTTGAAACGATTTATGCCCAGGATGTGAGGAGTTTGTAGATATTTTCACAGCCCTCTTTTTGACTCATGCAGTATACAAGTCCTCAAAGGAAGGCAGTTTGGTAGCAATTGTTTTTTTTTTTTTTTGCAGTTTTAATTATCCATTGAAGTCTGTATCTGTCTTGTTTAGTTGCAGAGCCAAACCAGACAGTTATAGAGGTGCAGATGACAGACTCAATAATTATTCTGTAGAACAGAATCAGCAGTTCTTTGGGCAGTTGAAGCTTTCTGAGTTGGTGCAGAACGAACATTCTAAAGGAAGTACCAATGTATTTTCTTTGCCTTACACTACTGATAGAACACAGCATTCCTCTTAAGTTCACTAGTCTTCACAAATAGTCCTATCTCATTGAACTGGGTATAAGAATTTGTGATTTGTATGACTTCACAGTGCAAAATTATTCCTGGAAATACTTTATTGTTGCAAACATTGTAGATCAATGCTCTTGAAAAATTTCCAGCATCCTTTTTTCCTCCCCTCTCTTTAGTGGACCTCATATCCAGATGTGTTGGGAATACAATTCAACTTTGATGGATTTTACAAAGAGGTTGGAAGTGCTTTTATTGGAAGCAGTCCCGAATTCGAATTTGGACTCTATTCCCTGTGTTTCATTGCTCGGCCTTCAAGAGTGTAAGTATATTGTTAAGGCCAAGAGTTATTTTCACAGAAATTAAAAATGAGAAGATGCAAGGCCAATAAAGGATGGTCTGGAAGCCAATGCATGTTTTTGATGTGCTACCTCCCATGTACCAAAGTGAAAGTATTTACATTCTGAATGAAATTGGATCATTCTTTCCAAATGAAATGAAAGCTTTCCATCCAGTCAATTATTTTCAGAAACAGAGCTGACAAGCAGGGAATGAAAGAGCAATGTTCTCACATCGACTGTACACTCCCTAACATCTGATTTGAAAAGGTCTGTCACTTTTGAAGACAAGGGTTTCATTTAGCTATCTGAGTCAATAAAGGTAAAGGTTCCCCTTGCACATATGTGCTAGTAGTTCCAGACTCTAGGGGGCGGTGGTCATCTCGGTTTCAAAGTTGAAGAGCCAGCGGTGTCCAAAGACGTCTCCATGGTCATGTGGCCTGCATGACTAAATGCCGAAGGCGCATGGAACGCTTTTACCTTCCCACCAAAGGTGGCCCCTATTTTTCTACTTGCATTTTTTACATGCTTTTCAACTGCTAGGTTGGCAGAAGCTGGCACAAGTTACGCGGTGCTAGGGATTCAAACTGCTGAACTGCCAACCCTTCTGATCGACAATCTTAGCGTCTTAGCCACTGAGCCACCATGTCCCCCTTCTTTTTGATTTCTTTTGTTGATCTAAGTGGCAACAAACTTAGCCTTCAAATTAAAGCCTCAGCAAAGTAATGGTCATTAAAACATCTCAAGATCTTGATTCAAGGTAGAGTAAAAGTTCTGAATTTTTCTGGTAATGTTCAGGCAAATGATTTTCACGATTTAGGAGTAGCACATAACAATAACACCTTGCAGAATTTAGCAGCCTCAAGGCATGAATCACATCAGTGGGTTCATTCAAGCAGTTTATTAAGGTTGCTCCACAAACGATCCTACTCATGGGAGATCTGAACTTTTCATGAAGAGGTTTCCAAGGAGCTGGAGCAGACAACATTCATAAAGGTGATGGTACAGAGAAAAGGGGAAGTTGTTGTAAGGCTTGATTCAGCTAGTAATTTGACTCAATTGTAGCCTATTCCAAATAACAATCTAGAACTTTTTATTTAAGAAAGATGATTTTGTACCAATTTTCTATCCTTCAGGTGTCATCTGAAAATTGGAGGCAAGAATCTGGATATCCAAACATATGCTTGGGATAAATCCACTTATGGCAATGGCAAAAGGTATATTGCCACAGCTTATGTGGCTACCCCATGAGGTTGCAAGATTTAAAAAAAAACAACCTGAAAGACCCAGAAACAATCCACAGAACAGCCAATGTTAATTTCTCTTCATGCCATTTCACAACTGCTGTATATTGTATGTGTTCTTTTAATGTTGTACTAGTGATATCTGGAAGGGATCATAGTGAGAAGAGATTATAAATCGACAAGTCTTTGGCAGACTGTAAGGTCAGCTGGAAGGCATAGGTGCCAAGTAACTTTTTTTCCGCAGATGACACACATTTCACCTAAAGTAAAAACAGAATGGAAAATGAAATAATGTTTGATTTTTAAAAAATGAACAATGGAGAGCATCAGGTTCTGAACATTTCTAAAATTACTTGCCATTGTCTTTTTCTTGAAATAAGCCTGCTTTTTATTTAGGCAAAAAAGAATGAAGAAACTTTGCAATAAGTTGAGTGTTTATGTGTGTGTGTGTGCGTGTGCATGTGTGTGCATGTGTGCATGCACACACAGTCACACACATACAGGGAACACACACACACATTTCATTCATTCATTTATTCAGTCACACTATTTAGCAAGAGTAGCTATTCAGGGAACTAATTAGAAATGGGGACAAGAAGGGGAAGATAATCTAAATCAGTATTTAATATAACTGTATGAAATATCAAAACAGAATCTTTAAGAATGGTACTTAATTTCCTATTTCTGATCCATTGAGTTGTTCACTGATTTTTTAATATATCTATTGTTTAAAAAACCAAAACCAGTTCACATATACCTGCTGTGTCACAGAAACACAAATTTAGTTGTCCAGGGTTCTTTGAATTCCTTCCCTTATACTGGCCAGCCTCTAAGCAGCATTAAAATTGAGAAAACTAAGAAATTGCACTAAAAGCTTAACATTTGTGTTCAAAATGTTGCTGAGCCATAGACCAAGTGACTAGTCTTTAACTAAAACCACCATTTCTCAGGCCTTTGATTGGTCATCTGGAGAAAATGGTCTCCTACCTACCTCACAGGGCTGTTGTGAAGTTATGAAAGGCTGACGGCAAAAATATATATGTAGTAAGATGCAAAATATTATATATTAATAGCATAATGCACCTGTATGATTTGGTTAATAAATCTTTGTTTGAGTACCTTGTTTTTAAAACAGCAATTATGATGTTTATATTAGCCCTTTATCCCCAGTATGATATTATATATTTTTTTCCAGGAGATATGCATATCTTATAGCTCTACAGTTTCTTCAGATTTTCTTTCTGAATCTGGCAGAGTTTAACTATAGCATTCAACTGAAACTCAATAAACTGTTCAATAAATTCACATTAGATGTGGTAAAAACCGTGTCCTGTTAGACTGATTCCATGGCATTCCAAGTCTATTTCAGTTCAAAAATCAAAGATTCAAGAGCCTCTATTTCTGAAGCTGTCTGTCATTGCAAGTGAGCTGATAGAATAACTAATAACTTCTAAGTAGAAATTTCCAAACAAAAGTTTGCCAGTACCTTGGGTTCTGGGAATTTAAGTCATTACTAAGCAGCTGAAAATAATTGTTGAGAAATTCACTTACAACAAACTTTTAATTTTGACTTGTTTAATTTCAGATTTTTAGATCAATACACAACTCAAACATGGTCACCATTGGAATTTCATACCTATCTGAATTTCGCAATAAAGTTGCTTAATAATAATAATGCATCCTGTGATGACACCTTTAAAACTATCAAACAACAACACCTGCCTAACCCAAGTTCTTGGGAAGGACTTGATAGGTGGACAAAAATGTCAAATCCAGTTGACCATCCACTGTTTGTGTAACCATACCCTAATAATACAATAATAATAGATATTCTTTTTAAAAAAAAATCTGCACTAGAATGTCTTGAAAATTATTTGCCAAGTTGAACTACATTTGGGGAAACTCTACATCTGTGGAGGTGAGGCAATGAACCATTATTGTGTCTCACTGTTGAGTGACCAAGTTAGCCTACTCGTTAACTGCACACCCAGAAACTTGATGTTGCTAACCAACTCCACAGGTGAATCATTAATACACAGAGGTGTGTGGCTGGCTCTTCTGAAATCGACAATGATCTCTTTAGTTTTTCCTACATTTAAAAGAAGGCAGGTTTTTTTTATTACACCAGTTCACCAAACCCTCTACATCAGTGGTTCTCAACCTTCCCAATGCTGCAACCCTTTAATACAGTTCCTCATGTTGTGGTAACCCCCAACCATAAAATTATTTTCGTTACTACTTCATAACTGTAATTTTGCAATTTTACAATGGTCTTAGATGATCCCTGCGAAAGGATCATTTGACCCCCAAAGGAGTCCCGACCCACAGGTTGAGAACTGCTGCTCTACATCCATGATGGCGAACTTTTGGCACATGTGCCAGAGGTGGCATGCAGAGCCCTATCTGTGGGTGCACGGCCGTCTCCAGCTGCTCTTCCGGGTTTTGTCACGTGCTAGCTACCTGGTCTTCACAAGAAGACCAGCTGGCTGGTGGGCACAGCCGCATCAGAACCTGGAAGAGAGCAGCTGCCAATGCTGGTCAGCATGCATGCATGCGATGGAAGCCAGAAGAACAGCGGCTACCGCAGGCATGCACCGCAGGCATGCCAGCTTCTCTCTTCCAGGTTCTGGCGCTCCAGTGTGTGCATGCTCCAGTTTTGGCACTCTGTACCAAAAAGGTTAACCATCACTGCTCTATATCCTTAGAGTAAGCACCCTCACTGTCATCCTGAATAAGAGCCACCTACTGTTGTATCATCCGCATACTCCACAATGTGATTGGTGGTAAAACTTGACCAATAGTCATGGGTGAACAACAGCGGTCTTATGACACAGCCCTGAGGAGAACCTGTGCTCAAGAAAATGGTGTTAGAAGCATTAGTCCCAACTCTATTGGTATGCTATCCCCCACTGCACCTCGCAGCTCCTCACCCAGTGTAAGAGAGGAGCAGCAGCCAAAGCAGCCTCCAGGGTGGATAGATAGACCAAACCTATGCAGGAAAGTTGCAGCAGCTTGAATAGTAGCCCAGCGGATGCTGAGCTTCAAGCTGGAGCTGCAGAGAGCTGAGCCACGAGCGGTTTGACAGATGGCTCAGCTGCAACTGTTTCAGAGCAAAGGGGGTCGTCCTCCCTTCACCATCTGCCAGGGGGTCACAGGTGACACCCAAACATTGGGGTCGTGGATGTGGGGGGAGCTAGAGAGCGATCACACGAACAGAAAGGGAGATGCCAGTGACTGATTTATAGGCATGCATTTGTTGGGCTCAACTGGACAATTTGCTTATTCCAAAAGATTCTACATGGAGTTTACAGCTGTGGCCTGTGTAAGCTTCCTGAGTGGAGTGGGAAGGGAGGGCCATGGACCTCTGGCTAAAAGCATATTAGCTGGTACGCATCAGTATGTGGCAAGCTGATCCTAGGGTCCAGACCATATATTGATAAGATGCTCAGCTGACTTCTTAGCCAAACCTCTGAGGCTCTTAGTATGCACGGTCTGACTTTTGCCAAATTCCTCTATCTTTGTTCAGAGGTGGGTCTTCGCATAATGGAAACACAATGTTTTGAGGGAGTGCTGCTTATAAATAGGAAGGGCTTAGTGACCAACTGCTTTATTAACAGCTCTACAGTGTAAGTGTAGCAGGAGCACAAGAGAAGAAAATGAAATCACACTCATCATGACATCATCATGCAAATTATGTGCCATATGGCATTTGGTGTTGTGATGGAGCTGATGAAAATTATATATACCAACTGTGCTATTGGTATGACTTCATTGTGATGTCTACCAAAAGCCTACCTTGTGATACAGATTAGGATATAATTGCACAATATACTATGTGAGGGCTCTCACATCTTACAGTCCGGTGTGGCTTCCTATCCACAAAACCAGTGGCTTTCCCAGATTTAAGCATATAATCTGAATGTGGATTAGAGCCATTTCCAATTAATGTAAACTACAACTGAACATATTTTCAAACCTCAATTTGTATTAATTGGAAATAGCCACTCTGAGTTTAATCAGTATCAGTACAATCATTACAATATAGCACAGTACAGTGCAATACAGCGCAATACAGAGCAATACAGTGCAGTGCAGTGCAGTGCAGTGCAATGCAATGCAATGCAATGCAGTGCAATACAATACAATACAATACAATGCAATACGTACAATAGGAAAACTACTAGTTTCAGTCAGCTAACCTCACAGGATATGCATGAGCTTCTCATGGCACTGTGGTTAGAACGCAGTATTGCAGGCTAACTCACTCTCACTGCCAGGAGTTCGATTCTGACCAACTCAAGTTTGATTAGCCTTCCATCCTTCAGAGGTAGGTAAAATAAGGATTGTTGGGGGCAATATGCTGATTCTGTAAACTGCCTAAAGAGGTCTGTAAAAGCACTACGAAGCAGTATATAAGTCTAAGTGCTATTGCTAAGTGCTCTAGGGTGACAGCATCCAGATTTACATCCATCGATTAGAGTGAATCATGAGAAATGTTCAAAAAGTGGCATTATTTCTCAGGATTATAAAGCCCTAAGTATCATGTGGTGGCTGCAATGACTGATGTGGTATGAAGGAATATTATTCAAATCCTTCTTCTTGGCCTCTTGTGTTTTAAGATCCTGGACATACAAAACATATTGGAAAAGAGATGCTTCTGGTAATTCCAAGAACAGCAGAAAGCAGAGGCTGGAAAATAGAGACCTTTCTGAGATTAGATAGCAATCAGAGTGGAGAGAACAGGCTTAGATAAATCAACACTATTTATGGATCATATTTCATCTAAGTAACAAATTTGTCAGTTCTTGGAAGTCATACCAAACCACATTTCTTCTTTACTACTTCCTCAAATCCCCACAGATGAATAGCCTTTTTGGTTCCCAGAAGATTGATTTTCATTACAAAAGGTACAGCATGTGGGCTGTTTGATTTCATTAACAGCAATGTATTGACAATATCATTGTTTTATTGATAATGAAATGCATTTGCCTCCCTTTTCCCCAATCAATCTGACATACACCTTTCTGTTGGAAAGAAACCACCGGAGACAATGTTTTAAATCCCGGCACTCTGTCTTTAAGGCCCTGCAGGAATATGGCTGTCCATTTAGAGTACCCTGTTTCCCTGAAAATAAGCCCTCCCTGGATAATAAGCCCAATTGAGCTTTTGAGCGCATGCACTAAAATAAGCCCTCTCCTGAAAACAAGCCCCCCCTGAAAATATTGCAACACAGCAGCAGCCAGGAGGTGACCATGCTTGCTGCCTCCTGC